TGAAATTAGCCATTCTTTTGTGCAAATTTTCGTGTAACATTTCGTTTCTTTCTCCTTCTTTAACTCCATAATATTTCTGCTATTATCTACCCTCTACTTTGTTCTCTTGTATTGAATAGTTCTTTATTCTAAGTTGACAACAGGAATGTAAGAATCATGACAGTAATTGTAATTCTACTTGTTCTTTACATATAATACATGTATTTGTGTTTCAGACAAAAACTGAATTTCGTTATAACGTGGAAAGGAAAAGTAATCGCTTTGGAATATGTTACAGTTGCTTGTAAACAGTTTTTAAGTTTAGCATTTTTTCCCAGATTATGCATCTTCAATAATATACATTGAGAAACATTGATAAATACCAAATGAAATATTCAGGAAATTTACTTGTGCTTAAATTCGTTATTTTTTAAATGTATTAATTAATTAAACACAAAGTGTCATTATCTACATTGTTCATTCTTTCCAGAAAATATTTTTTTATCCTTGGTTATCTAGCTGTGTAAACAATTAACTCACAGTTTTAGTCATACTTGGTGAGGGAAAACATTTTGATGATGACTTTTCCTATTATTATGGGGCGATTGATGGAAAATGCAAAGCGCATTTTATAAGACCTGGGGGGGGGGGGGGGTGTTTCACACAGATCCCAAGTTGAATTTTATCTCTAAGTTGGACTTGGAAATGATGGAAAGCTGTTAGCATCTATGAAAATATTTTGTAAAAGTTATTTTTAAATGTCATAAAATGTTGATTCAAATCATTCATATTTTCAAGGAGATTTCATGTTCTTGATGTGGAATTTATGAAAAAATTAAAATCTAAAAATACTTGCATTGAATATATTTTATTTGAAGGCAACAAATGGCTCTCCATAATGTTTAAGTCCAACTTAGAGTTAAGTTTGACTTCAGATCTTTGTGAAACACCCCCCTGTTGGTCTTACTAGTGAAGGCCACTCCAGGTTATTCAGTATCAGAATGACAACACATTCTCCATGAGAATCGATTCTCTAGTGTCTTTAAGAAATACATGTGCAAGAGATAATACATGGATATTATATGTAAGACATCTCATCATTACATGAATTTGGTAATCACTTCATTATCAAATGTACTATGCAATGGTTTAATGTATCATTGTTTGTACACAACCATGAATCAAGACATTGTTTCTTGATAGGTATTCATTGTTTATAATCAGGGGGGTGTTTCACAAAGATTATAAGTCAAACTTAACTCTAAGTTGGACTTAAATATTATGGAGAGCCATTTGTAGCCTTAAAATAGAATAAATCCAAAAGCGAAAATTCAAGTATTTTTGAGTTTTCATAAATTCCACATCAAGAACATGAAATCTCCCATGATAATAGAAAATATGAATGATTTGAATCGAGATATTATGCCTTTTAAATACCTTTAACAAAATATTTTCAATGATGCTAATGGCTTTCCATAATTTTTAAGTTCAACTTAAAGTCTTTGTGAAACACCCCCCTGGTATTTGATGAACTAGCCATCTACTTCAATTGCTCATATTCCATTATAAAACATATATGTCTTTATGGGATTTTATTACTTTTATTTTTAGTATAGCAGCCAAGTAGTATTAAACCTTTTCTGAGAAGAAACTTGTCTGTTGAAGTGATTTCTCTGGGGATTTTAGGTCTGTAACCTGACCTGGGGGGGGGGGGGGGGTGTTTCACAAAGATCCCTAGTCGAGCTTAGCTCTAAGTTGGACTTAAATATTATGGAGAGCCATTTGTAGCCTTAAAAATAGAATATATTCAAAAGCGAAAATTCAAGTATTTTAGAGTTTTTATAAATTCCACTTCAAGAACATGAAATCTCCTTGATGATAGAGAATATGAATGATATGAATCAACATTTTAAGCCTTTCTAAATAACTTTTACAAAGAATTTTCAAAGATACTAACGGCTTTCCATAACTATTAAGTCCATCTTGGAGATACCAGTAAGTTCAACTTTGTGAAAAACACCCCTGGTGTCTAAGATGTTTATTTAAAGGTAATACAAAGTTTTGGGAAATTTTGAAAATTTGGGTGGATAGTGAATCTTTACAATTTTGATATATTTGGATGCCCCTGTGGATGTATTATAAGCACTACAAAAATTGACCCCTAAAACACTTCTGTTTTCGAGAAAAATTGAATATAAAAATTTACCGGTGCTCCCGGTAAATTTTGATAAATTTCAAATAGCGCCTACGGTCGTACAATGGTAGCTGCGACCATGAAAATCTCAGAATATGTAGTTGTGATATATAATTTCCAAACGGGAATAGATAATCGGTCGATTTTAGTCAAGAAACATCGTTTCATAGCTAAATTAATATCTTGACCTTGAGACCTTATAACTTCATAACTTTAGACTCAATTTCAACCGGGACAACGATCAATGAATATTGTAGGAACGCATATGCTTCCAATATGTTAATTTGAACCAAATTCATGACGCCATACCAAAACTTTGTAATACCTTTAACAAATGCAAAATTGTGCTAACTTTGCTAAGCCCAAATTTCAACCAAATTTGACCAGTGTGTTTTTGCCATGTGTATACACATTTATGCCTGTATGCACCCCTTTTAGGCACAGGAAAAGTGTGGTGTAATGACCGACAATAGAATGCCAATGAGACTATAAGAGCCCAAGTATAGAAGAGGATGGCCCACCCGCCACATTGGGTAGCTTTTGATCCTTACAACCTACTTGATCTACAGTGTGAAATTTACTCACTGTGCCACGTCTTCTCACAAGTCCCTGTCTTACAAAAAAAAACTGTTTTGATGTCGCTACTCGACGGCAACCCGCTCTTGTAGAGATCAATTTTCAGCTGAAGTTCTCATTTTCACCACTACCGGTATGAAGATTTACCTTGAATGCTGTCGTAGGATCTAGTTGAGGACTTAATCCTTAACTTGACGCATGCGCAGGTCTCTGTGACCGTTTCATGTTGTAGATTACGTCGGTCGTGCAAATCGAAAGCTCTCTATTATATGGAGGAGAGACCTGGGGGTGTTTCACAAAGATCCTAAGTTGGACTTAAATATTAGGGAGAGCCATTTGTAGCCTTATAATGAAATATATTCGAAAGCAAAAATTCAAGTATTTTAGACTTTTCATAAATTCGGCATCAAGAACATGAAATCTCCCATGTTAATAGAAAATATGAATGATTTAAATCAACATTTTATGCCTTTTGAAAGAAGTTTTCAGAATATTTTCAAGGATGCTAATGGCTTTCAACAATTATTGAAAGCCATTAGCATCCTTGAAAATATTCTCTCCCTAATATTTAAGTCCAACTTAGAGTTAAGTTTGACTTAGAATCTTTGTGAAACACCCCCCTGGGCATGTGAAGAAGCTGGAAGCTGCAGAGATGAGATGTCTGAGAGGTGTGAGAGGAGGGGAACGATGAGGTGCGAAGGGAAGTAAAAGTGACGGGATAAGGGAGAAGATTAGATACGGTAGACTGGGATGGTATGTAACTGTGAAGAGGAAAGATGAAGATCAACTGATTACACACGTAGAGGGCAGCAGAAAGAAAGGAGCAAGTTAAGGAGAAAGAAAGGAAGAGGTGTTAAAGGCATCCTGTAACGGCCCTACGTGTTATCAGTGTCTGTGATATGGTGTAATGTTGAAGCCCTAAAAAAAATTGCGCATCAAAATGATCAAGAAGTGCCTCAAAAAAGTAAAAATCTTTGAGTGACCAGTTTTACCCTACTCCCGAAAGACTGAAAAAAGTCATGGGATTCCTGACTGACCTAAAGGTTTGTAGTTATGATTGCAGCATGCGCTAAATCCAGGATTTTGTTTCAGAATCTGAGGCAATGTTACCAAGTCTTTTTAAAGGGATCCGGTAACTTTGTCCTAGATCCTTCAAAAAAAATTCCTTGATTTAGCTCGTGCTGCAATGAAATGATAATTATAAACCTTTAGGTCAGTCAGGAACCCTATGACTTTTACAAGCCGATCGCCTGTCTAATTATCAAGATATGTATGATTGAAAATCTAAATTAAAATTTGTGTTTGCCAGTTTTCATAACACTACGGTCTATTGGGGAAAATGAGTATGGTAAAACCAGTCACTCTAAGGTTTTTACTTTTTTGAGGCACTTCTTGATCATTTTGGAGTGCAATTTTGTTAGGGCTTCAATATAACACCATATCACAGACACTTAAGTCCAGCATAAGTCTTAAAAGATTAATGAAATATTGCTTTTAAACTTCTTTGAAATGTTGTTTAATCAACTGTCTGAATACACAACCTTGCAAGTGCATTTATTTTTTGTCAAGACATTAGTCTACATGTTTTCCTTATACATGTACAATGGGTATATGATATACTCAAGCCCTATACTACAATGGGTATATGATATGCTCAAGCCCTATACTACAATGGGTATATATGCTCAAGCCCAATGCTCAAGCCCAATACTACAATGGGTACATATGCTGGAGCCCTACACTACAATGGGTTATATGATATGCTCAAGCCCTATACTACAATGGGTATATGATATGCTCAAGCCCTATACTTAATACAATGGGTATAATATGTTCAAGCCCTATACTACAATGGGTATATGATATGCTCAAGCCCTATACTACAATGGGTATATGATATGCTCAAGCCCTATACTTAATTCAATGGGTATAATATGTTCAAGCCCTATACTACAATGGGTATATGATATGCTCAAGCCTTATACTACAATGGGAATATGATATGCTCAAGCCCTATACTTAATACAATGGGTATATGATATGCTCAAGCCCTATACTTATACAATGGGTATATGATATGCTCAAGCCCTATACTTGTTGGCCTCTGGGCTAATTAATTGGGTTGTGAAATTGGAGTACAATAAACATAAGATGCACGCTTGTAAGAGCATTTACACAACAGTCACTATCATCAAATGTTTCATTCAATGATTACAATATATTAGATTTCAATAGAATGAAGCCATGAACATTGAAAGAGTTTGACCACAGCTGCAGTATTTTTATTTGGATTTATTTCCACAAAACATGAAATAAAAGTGTACAAAATGATAAATGTACAATCCAATGAAATGGAGGGATACCAAAAGTATAAACTATTATCTAGGTTAAACACAATACGAAATAATAATAAGTATGGATTTATACATGTAAAGTGCTTAATACCTTATACGGTCTTTAAGTGCTTTACATATATTATTATCCCATTCATCGAAACACACGATGTGCACACTTTCCAATCGCATGACAACAAAAAAAAAGAAGAAGAGAAAATTGCAGACATCTTCATGAGGTGCACCTTTCACATGCACAGACCATAATGACTTGCTGAACATTGTTTTTATCTCATAAAGACTTGAAACTCTCAAAGTATACTTAACAGGCATTCAAGATAATACAAGGAGACACATGTAGGCTGCTACACATTATACAGTCGTGTAAATATGAATCTTCTTGGTGGGTACGAGGCATGACATCATCATAAATTTATCCAGGAGTGTTTCACAAAGATCCTAAGTTAAGCATCTATGAAAATATTTTTGTAAAAGTTATTTTAAAAGGCATAAAATGTTGATTCAAATTATCCACATTTTTTATTATCAAGGAGATTTCATGTTCATGATGTGGAATTTATAAAAAGTCTAAAATACTTCAATTTTTGCTTTTGACTATATTTTATTTAAGGCTACAAATGGCTCTCCATACTATTTAAGTCCAGCTTAGAGTTAAGTTTGACTTGGGATCTTTGTGAAACGCCAGTTCTTGCGCTGGAAGGTTATAAATAAACTAAACACGTAGATATGCAACGCTATGAATACACACAATGTCAATGTTGACTGCTATCCAATGATTATATTACCGTGAGACAATCAGGAGTGACATCATACTGGCCAACTTGGTAAAAGTTGCTAGTTCTAGACAATTTGGTGCTGAACAATGGTGTGGTGATCACACCATGCAGTGCAAACACTGAATTTGCCCTGCTCTAGCCCGTTGCTTGAACGATTTCGGGATGAACCTCATGCACAGGCTCTGTTGTTATAATCATCAAGCAATATGACGAATATTATCTTCGGGCAACCTCCAAAAAAATGTCATTACCGTACTGCAAAACAGCTATCTTTTAGGATTTGTAGAAAGCTAGTGTTGCAAGAAATTTCTTATATTAAAGTACTGTATTTGTTTATAGTTAACCTTGCACTACATATACTCCTTAATGGCACAATGTTGTATAATAAAGTGCACCATGCAATGACCTAAACAAACAAAAAACTTATGTACAGCTGGAATGTACAAACTCAAACTCAATTATCTTTACCGGTACCTAGCATTCTAGGGGTTAACAAACATGAGGCAAATCAAGAACAACATAAAGCCAAGCACATGGAACCTGAGTTGGATTTGGTTCCTTGCAGGTGAATCGAGTATAACGATGTCAAACCCCTATCAACACACAGAGCAAAATATTTTTGGGGTGGTTGGTACAGCACTAGATATAGAGGAATGTCTAAAGGGCCATTGATGTTGCTGTCTAAAGGGCATAGATGGAGCTGTCCAAAGGACCATAGCTGGAGCTGTCTAAAGGACCGTAGATGGAGCTGTCAAAAGGGCCATAGATGGAGCTGTCTAAAGGGCCGTAGATCGAGCTGTCTAAACGACCGTAGATGGAACTGTCTAAAGGACGTTGATAGAACTGCCTAAAGGGCCTAGATGGAGCTGTCTAAAGGACCGTAGATGGAACTGTCTAAAGGGCCGTAGATGGAGCTGTCAAAAGGGCGTAGATGGCGCTACGTAAAGGGCCGTAGATGGAGCTGTCTAAATGGCATAGATGGAGCTGTGTAAAGGGCCGTAGATGGAGCTGTCTAAATGGCGTAGATGGAGCTGTGTAAAGGGCCGTAGATGGAGAAATGGCGTAGATGGAGGTGTCCAAAGGGCGTTGATGGAACTGTCTAAAGGACGTTGGTGGAACTGTCTAAAGGACGTTGGTGGAACTGTCTAAAGAGCTATAGATGGAACTGTCTAAAGGGCCATAGATGGAGCTGTCTAAAGGGCGTTGATAGAACTGTCTAAAGGGCCGTAGATGGAGCTGTCTAAATGGCGTAGATGGAGCTGTGTAAAGGGCCGTAGATGGAGATGTCTAAATGGCGTAGATGGAGCTCTGTAAAGGGCCGTAGATGGAGCTGTCTAAATGGCATAGATGGAGCTGTCTAAAGGTCGTTGATGGAACTGTCTAAAGGACGTTGGTGGAACTGTCTAAAGGATGTTGGTGGAACTGTCTAAAGGGCCATAGATGGAGCTGTCTAAAGGGCGTTGATGGAACTGTCTAAAGGGCCGTAGATGAGCTGTCTAAAGGGCGTTGATGGAACTGTGTAAAGGGCCGTAGATGGAGCTGTCTAAAGGACGTTGATGGAACTGTCTAAAGGGCCGTAGATGGAGCTGTCTAAAGGGCCGTAGATGGAGCTGTCTAAAGGGCTGTAGATGGAGCTGTCTAAAGGACCATAGCTGGAGCTGTCTAAAGGACCATAGCTGGAACTGTCTAAACAGCCATTGATGTTGCGATGTTGATATCATGAGATATGACTTGGCGATCCCAACCACAGGTTAGAAGCTTGTTACTCTGAGAATCCCAGGATAGTCCATGAACAAAGTCATTGTGGGCATAGCTACGGTATCTGCAAAGGCAAACAAAATCAATGTGTGAAAATACAGTATGATGGGGAGGGTTGTGTGTCTAGATGCTTTATGAACAGAATAAAGCCATCACTTTTACCTTCAGATATAACAAAAATGTATTCATCAAATAGCATTAATCGTCATAAATATTTATCCTTTATAACATCGTCTAACATAATCTTCAATATTAATGAAATACTGCATGTAAACTTCTTCAAATTACCATTTTTTGGCCAACCGTTTGGATACACAATCTGTCCAGACACACAACATCTGGACAGCCATTAAAGGTATTTCCATCAAGTCTGGTGTCGGCGAACTATGGCCTTCTGCTCATGGAATCTGATGACCCTCTCCCTTTAACGGTATGTATATTGTTTTATATTCTTTCTTCAACTGTCAAGAGTACAGTTTCTTCATCAGCCCAATGAAATTAATTTAAAAAAGGGGGATTAAACTTACATTTGTTTGAGCTCTGGTTGTAGTTCAGTAACTGCTGCTGTACAATCATCAGATACAGATGCAAGTAAGAGAGGACTGGGAAGAAAAATATTGATAAATAAAATAAGGTTAATTACTTGATAATTACTTGATACAATTCAACTTTAAATTTATGTATAATATTTTACCAACACCTGTTAATTTATTCAAATGGAAAATCAAAGAAAACAATTTGTGTTATTACTGTAAAAGACCTGGGACTATTATACATGTATTTTTTGAATGCGGACATATTTACCCATTTTGGAACGTTATTGAAATATTATTATGTAACTCCTTCTGTAAAAATGTTAAGTTCTCACCCATTTGTGTTGCATATGGTTTTCATGACGCATATATTGATTTAATACTTGGAAATCAATTTAATAAAAATGTAGTAACAAGAATAATAAGCAAATATTTTTGGTTATGTTGAAATACAAAATAGAAGTAGAGGAAAATAAAACTTAGACAACAGATTTGAATATTATTAAGTAAAAGAAGACAATTACTGATTTACAATCTGCTATCAAGTAAAAAGAGATATATAATTTGCTTTGATCTCATTTAAACATGTGATTAAGTGCTTTGTTACGAATATTTATATACTATCTGTGATTTTATCTGAATAAAGATTTATTTCAACAACAAAAACAAAAATTTAAAAAAATAAGGTTCACGATGAATACAAGATACAAGATATGCCAGGGGGAAAAAAAATTGTAAGTAGCCTGAACCATCCTCCAGATTATACCATTGAAATGAAATCATTTAAAGAATTTTCAAACTTTAAAGCGAAAGACCGGTTATGGTCATGCAATTGCGTAGTGAAAGAAACATTGTGAAATTGATCAGAAAAGGTTGATCCTCTAGCATAGATGTACTGCAAGGTTCTGGAATCATCAAAATTATAAGAAATTTGGCCAAGTCTTCATAAAGTTAGAAGCACTGTACACAGAAAGATGTATATGGGACTACACACGTGCGCGACACGTGCATTTGTATCTCTCAACAGTATAGAGATATACTAATTTACCAAATATATCAATTAGTACGCGATTTCTATTTTACCGTCAAAAATGTTATCGTCATGTAATATTCAAAACATATTCTTTCACATGATTGGTAATAAGAGCTTCCATTTCATTTTTTGAAATTGGGGCGCTTCCAATATTATACTCGTCTTTACCTTTAAGTGCATGTAATTATTTTATTCACCTGTAAAGAATAATTGTATTTGTATTTCAATAGTCAGAATGCACACTTCATATTTTATGTGTTGCTAGGTAGGGGCAAGTCACGTTTGTCCTACCTAACAAAAATACTGTATGCCATTCACATTCTGACTGTTGAGATTAAAGGGGTGATTTGTATGAGGCACTTCACAAAGTATGCATTAAATTTGGTTACATTGTGAAAAAAGCCTATTGCAGAGAAGTTGATGGGAATGAACTAGAAGAAATAATAAATAAGAGTCAAACACCAAATTCATACCAATTCACCTAATCACCACTCATGCTAAAACTGAATAGCACGCATAGGCACAATGCAACAGACTAAAAAATGAGATAGAAATTAGCTTACGATTTGGTGGAGAAGGCTAGCCTGTGTACTGCCCTCGTGTGAGCTGATGTAACAATAGCTGCGTTTTGATGACTACGAGCGTCTAGTAGAGTAATGCTACCACTCTCGTCACCTGCACAGCACAAAATACAAAGGCAAGGAATTTCAAAGCATTAAATATGTAACATTTGATACATCATTTAAAGATAAAGACCAGTTATGGTCATGCGATTGCATTGTGTGAAAGAAACGTTGTGGAATCTATCAGAAAAGGTTGATCATCTAGCATATAAGTATAGGTGTGTACTGCAAGGTTCTGGAATCATCAAAATGATAAGAAATTTGGCCCAGACTTCGTAAAGTTACAAGCACTGTACACAGAAAGATGTATATGGGACTACGCACACGTGCGCAACACATGCGTTTATCTCTCACAGTCCAAGAGATAAACTAATTTACCAACTATATCAATTAGTAAGCGGTTTCCCTGCAAAATTTGTATCATCATGTATTAGTCAAAACATATTCTTTCACATGATTGATCATTGGTAATAAAGAGCTTCCATTTCATTTTTTGAAATTGGGGTGTCTCCAATACTGGTCTTTACCTTTAAAAAGCAAAACTCAAATGTACCAATCACCATAATTATCAGCAAGTATTTCTGCGTTGCTTTATGATAAACGTTATTTTATGTGCAAAACATTTCAGGGGATAGATTTGTTTGTTTTTGTTGCAACATTTTTTGTTTTGTTCATGTTGTGGTGATTGTTTTTAATGTTACACTGAAATGTGAAACAACATGATTGTAAGTGTGAAACAATATGATTATTCCTTTATTTTTCTGCAAAAAAATGTAACGCATATTTTGTAAATCATTGTTTCCTGACCAATAAAACTCATCAAGATTTTTAAAAAAATTAAAATTTATTGGTTTTAAGCTGGGGATCGATTCTAATCCATATTCTCTTCATAAGACAGGCCCTAAACACAATAATACCCCTGTACATCTCAGCTGATACTTAAAGGGATAGTTTAGTTAAAGGTAACACAAAGTTCTGGTATGGGATCATGAGTTTGGTCAAAATAAATATATATTGGAAGCATATGCGATCCTATAATATTCAGTGATCGTTGTCGCAGTTAAAATCGAGTCTAAAGTTATGAAATTGTAAATAATAAACTCTTTATGTTGTATAGCTCCCTCTCAGGGTCAAGATATTAATTAAGCTATAAAACAATGTTTCTTGACTAAAATCGACCGACTAGCTATTCCCGTTTGGAAATTATATATCACAACTACATATTCTAATATTTTCATGGTCGCAGCTACCATTGTACGGCCGTAGGCGCTATTTGAAATTTATCCAAATTTACCGGGAGCACCGGTAAATTTTTATATTCAATTTTTCTCGAAAGCAAAAGTGTTTTAGGGGCTAAATTTCCTAGTGCTTGTTACACATCCACAGGGGCATCCAAATCTATCGAAATGGTAAAGAATCACTATCCACCCAATTTTCAAAATTTCCCAAAACTTTGTATTACCTTTAAGTTTTGTTGCAGATGGCGCTAAACAAAATATTTTATTGTGAGAAAATGAAAAACTGAGTGTCAAATTTGAAAGAACATACAATTCAAATGACAAAATCATCTTTGTTAGGTCTACTTGGTCAAGGATGACATCGTTAAAAACAACATAGCTGGATCATTCATCAAACTATGAGGAAAAAATTGACTTTAAAGGGATGAGAGAAAATGGTGCTTAGGTAGTGACTTCAATGCTAGAGGTACAATTAAAGATAATCTGAAAGTTTGAGTGAAAACAGACCATTGCTAATGATAAAATTGGGAAATACTCATCTGATCGATTCCTTAATTGTTCCAACTACATGTATATTACTACAATTTAATCACATTTTAGGTGAATGTAAATCGTCACAAAGCAATGAATTGGCTCTACATGTATATACCGTTCCAGACATTAAAAAAGACAGACGTGTGTTTTTTTTCAATGGAAAAATGGTTGGGAAAATCCAAAACGGTTGGGAGAATTTACTGTTAGAGGGTGTTGCACAGTGACGCCTTCAAAGAAAATCATTGATATTGTAGCGGCTCTTACATTCGCCCTACTTACATTCGCCCTACTTTCACCGTACATTTATGTCTCCTGTATTTTTCCATCACGCTACTTATTTATATGCATTATTCGGACCACGTGTGTTCATTCCTCCAATCGAGCATCGTGGTTCCGCACTGTTCACCCCGCGTATTTTCAACTCCACGAGGTTTTTCTTCACTCCCGCTTTCACCTTGGTCGAGTCAAGACGTCTCCATAATTTCCTCTCCAGGCTTTATTCTTCTGTGCCTGTCGTTTCTTCTACGGCACGTCTACTCTTTCTCTGCCGTGTTCATCGGGCTGCAGTCTCCCAGTGGAACGTTATAGTCAGGACCGACATGGCGCCTGACTCTCCGCTGGGAGCTGCCAGTTTCTTCGTTCCGGTAGCTCTTTCCACTCACGAGCTCATCATTTCACCGCAGCTCATCTAAACATTTCTTCATCAAAGTCCGGCGCATCAAACGAGCAACTATTACTACTCAGCACCAGTGCCGGCTTTGCATGTCTACCTTTCTACTCTTCGCCTCCGACATCGAACGACCCACTGTTCCGTCGTCGAGCGCCACATTTCTTCTCTTCTCTTCTCGCCTGAGAGCTTCTTCACATCTTCATTACGAGCGTCAGCGTCGAGATTCTTCACGGCTCTTCAGCCACGACAACGAAGCTGCATCTCCGCCTTCAAGCCTCCGCACATCATCGCGTGAGCCCCTTCCTTCGTTCTCAACTCTCTTCTTCTTCATTGGACTTTCGACGGCATTTCATATATGTCGTAAGCTCTATTTATTCATCGCATTTATTCATGTTCATTCTTATCTTTGATCATTATAATGTAACTACGTGCAATATCTCCAATTCTCATTTATGCATTCTCATTCCGATTCTTCGGCTTGTGCTTGGCTACACTTTGCAAGTGTACGGCCAGCCTCATCAGTACCCAATAAACATAACGAAAAGGGAATACTTTCTTTCATGTTTTTTATTGTCAGTGCAACCTTGTTTCCTCGTAGCTAAAATAAAAATAAGAGTTATGTTGTGTGACGAGTGAACACGCTTTCAAATATCCATTCACATTACCTCACACTCATATCTCTAAAGTGGTGACCCCGAGTTTACTTTGAAGCTTGGTTGTACGAATTTATTATTCCCAGACTTTTTGGAGTTAGCAATGTTTTATAAAATGTCTTCATTCTGGATTATGTATCGACTGTTTTTTATGCTCTTGCATTTATACACGTTTATTCGATGCATACCATGTCATTCATTACTGTTCAATTTTTGGCAACTAAACAGCCGTTCGCATACCATGCTTGTTATTCTTTCAACATGCCATGCTTGTACATTTCTCAGGCTGTTGTAAATTACTGCATACACTTTATTATACAATACATGCATTTTTACATTTTTATCAGCCATTGATTCTTGTGACATTTTGTACTTTGCTCATTTATATATTATCGCCTTTTATCTGTGTATTGCATACACAGCTTCAATTCTGGCAGGGGAGTAATGTAGCGGCTCTTATATTCGCCCTACTTACATTCGCCCTACTTTCACCGTACATTTATGTCTCCTGTATTTTTCCATCACGCTACTTATTTATATGCATTATTCGGACCACGTGTGTTCATTCCTCCAATCGAGCATCGTGGTTCCGCACTGTTCACCCCGCGTATTTTCAACTCCACGAGGTTTTTCTTCACTCCCGCTTTCACCTTGGTCGAGTCAAGACGTCTCCATAATTTTCTCTCCAGGCTTTATTCTTCTGTGCCTGTCGTTTCTTCTACGGTACGTCTACTCTTTCTCTGCCGTGTTCATCGGGCTGCAGTCTCCCAGTGGAAGGTTATAGTCAGGACCGACATGGCGCCTGACTCTCCGCTGGGAGCTGCCAGTTTCTTCGTTCCGGTAGCTCTTTCCACTCACGAGCTCATCATTTCACCGCAGCTCATCTAAACATTTCTTCATCAAAGTCCGGCGCATCAAACGAGCAACTATTACTACTCAGCACCAGTGCCGGCTTTGCATGTCTACCTTTCTACTCTTCGCCTCCGACATCGAACGACCCACTGTTCCGTCGTCGAGCGCCACATTTCTTCTCTTCTCTTCTCGCCTGAGAGCTTCTTCACATCTTCATTACGAGCGTCAGCGTCGAGATTCTTCACGGCTCTTCAGCCACGACAACGAAGCTGCATCTCCGCCTTCAAGCCTCCGCACATCATCGCGTGAGCCCCTTCCTTCGTTCTCAACTCTCTTCTTCTTCATTGGACTTTCGACGGCATTTCATATATGTCGTAAGCTCTATTTATTCATCGCATTTATTCATGTTCATTCTTATCTTTGATCATTATAATGTAACTACGTGCAATATCTCCAATTCTCATTTATGCATTCTCATTCCGATTCTTCGGCTTGTGCTTGGCTACACTTTGCAAGTGTACGGCCAGCCTCATCAGTACCCAATAAACATAACGAAAAGGGAATACTTTCTTTCATGTTTTTTATTGTCAGTGCAACCTTGTTTCCTCGTAGCTAAAATAAAAATAAGAGTTATGTTGTGTGACGAGTGAACACGCTTTCAAATATCCATTCACATTACCTCACACTCATATCTCTAAAATATCTTTGTGGTTTGAGAATTTTTTCAGGATTTTTTGCACATTAGAGGGTTAGTACAGTAGAAGGAAAATAGTACCGGTAAGTAACATTTCATACAAAAATTACGCAGATTTTTCATCAACATTCAACAATGTATATATGTATATATGTTCTTACTTATTGTTTATTGCCGTTATAAATTCATGTTCAAGATTTTGATATTAATATTATTATCATATTTGTTAAACTATAATGTACCTCATTAAGTTTAACAGGGCCTCATGGAAGACCACCATTATTGGAGATGAGTCACCCTGTCTAAATATCAGAAATAAATAAATTAATAAATAAGATGTTACCAAGTCACTTTAAAGCTTACCGACTGCTATAACATAGGATTCTCCTGGTTTCCAAACTACACTTGTAGGCAGGCCTGAAGGACAGGATAGACGCTGTGCTGGTTTAGCTTTCCGCATATCCCATAACATTACCGAACCATCCTGTAACAAATGCATATTATTAAACCAATAAAATAATAATAATAATGATAATAATAATAATAATAATCTTTTAAAGTCCACCCTAAATTTTATTAAGTTAAACCGAAAATGGGAAATCTTTTTGCCCAATTGATCGTGAGCCCGGCAGCCACTGAGCAGTGCCAGATCGACGTCGATCCCTTACTGTTGAACGCCTAACAAGGTAGCAGCAACCCCCGTCTTTTAACGTCTTTTGGTATGACGCGGCCGGGATTCGAACCCACGACCTCCCGGTTGTGAGGCGGACGCTCTACTGACTGAGCCAACACACCGGTTGAGTGTCATCTTTGAGAGAGGGTTTATAAAACTTTGGAAAATTCAAACAATTGTTGCCAATTTTAGGAGTAGAAGGTGATTCATTTAGAACTCCAGGGGGGTGTTTCACAAAGATCCTAAGTAGAACTTAACTCTAAGTTGGACTTAAAAATTATGGACAGCCATTGGAGTCTTTAAATGAAATATATTCAAAAGCAGAAATTCAAGTATTTTAGACTTTTTATTAATTCCACATCCAGAACATGAAATCTCCTTGATGATAGAAAATATGAATGATTTCAATAAACAATGAATGCCTTTCAAAATAACTTTTACAAAATATTTTCAAAGATGCCAATGGCTTTCCATATTTTTTAAGTCCAACTTAGAGATAAGTTCAACTTAGGATCTTTGTGAAACACCCCCCAGAACTGCTAGAGGTCAAAACAAAATTGTTCAATAGGTCATTTTTGTCATGTAACCAAATTTAATGAATTTTCATTCATTCATTCGTTCAGTTTATATTTTTTCTTTCTTATGTAATTGTACACGATTCCTTTTTCAAGATGTAATGTGTTCCCTAATAATATGAAGCGCCTTGAGCATTTAATTAGAATGGATAATAGCGCTTTATCAAATCTCATGTATTATTATATGTCTTTGCATATTGTTCTTTGTTTCAAGGCCATGAATAATAGTCACAATATGAATTGCATAATGCATACAGTAAATATAGTAGTTGTTGCTAGGTAGGACAAACACTAGGGTTTGCCATACAACACGTTACACATGCAATTTGTATCTGAATGATTAAAATACAAATGTACTGGGGCCCGTTTCATAAAACTTTTGATCAATAACAAATGCTAAATTTCTATGACAAATTTGCTCTCAGCCAATCAGATGCCATGATTTCAGTAGCTTATAACAGTAGCTTGTAACTTGTTATTGATAGCAAGTTTTATGAAACAGGGTCCAGTTCTCTTGACCTGGTGAGCATGACACGTGTGACACTATGAACATGGCAGACAAAATATACAGTTCCTCATTCTACCCTCAACAATTGTTGTGGTAGACAAAGGAACATCCCTTCACTGCTATTATGTAAAAATGTGTAGAACAGGTGTCACATGCATATTCACCTGTTTTTACATAATAGCAGTGAAGTGATGTTCCTTTGTCTACCACAGCAATTGTTGAGGGTAGAATGAGGAACTGTATATTTTGTCCTCTTTCTTTGTCCGTCATATTCATAGTGTGATTACCTGGGAGCATGAAACAAAGACTTCTAGTTCGTTGGGACTACACGCCAGCTGTTCTACCTTCGCTGTGTGAACATTGAGAGTACCAATAGAGCGCTGTGTAGCTAGATCCCATAGCTTGATCCTGTATTAAAGATAAAGACCAGTTATGGTCATGCGATTGCATTGTGAAAGAAACGTTGTGGAATCGATCAGAAAAGGTTGATCATCTAGCGTATAAGTATTGGTGTGTACTGCAAGGTTCTTGGATCATCAAAATGATAAAAAATTTGGCCAAGTCTTGGTAATGTTACAAGCATTGTACACAGAAAGATGTATATGGGACTACACGAACACGTGGCGTACAAATCTGTCCCAATTTTTACGATGTTACATGACATATTTAGAATATGAAGTCATATGAAGAGCCATGCTTTTCGGGAAGCATGTTTTATCTGATGATCTTCCACACTTGCTTATGCTCACAAATTATTTTTCACCTCTTCCCAGAACTCAACCTTCTCTTTAATAAGAAGGTTTCCCTCAAGATCTTCATTTCATCTCCCTATTTAAGATGTTATAGATAGTAGTACCAAGTTTGAAGGTCATGGCTCAAAGAGTCCATGAAATGAGGCTATTAAAATACATATTTGAGATACATGTGAGTTGGTCTAGCGGCATGTTCATTTGGTCAGCTCTCTGTCTTCGCCTAAAAACTGATTTTAGATCTCGAGGTGTGTTTGAGTAGATTAGCAGAATAGAGAGCAGGGGGGTGTTTCACAAAACTTGTCATCAGTGACAAATGACAGTTTGTGTTATAAGCTACTGAAATCCTTGCTTCTGATTGATTATCAGCAGATTTGTCACTGATCTTTCTTATTTGTCATTGAAAAAGGCTTTGTGAAACGGGTCCCTGTTGTGTAATCATGCATACTCACAGTCTGTCAGATGAACCGCTGATGACCCTAGTCTTGTTAGAGTTCACACTGACAGAGTTCACTGCACTGTCGTGCTCGTACAGATAGAACAAATTGCGGAAAGCGTTGCTCTCCAGCTGCCAAATCTCAATTGCACCTTAAGAAAAAGAAATTAATATTATCATAATAAAAGTTGAATGAATCAGTATTCCCTTTCCAAATTGGCAACAATCATCTTTTCACTATCACATTTTATAAATACAGTTTTATACAAATAATACACAGGTGTGAGTGTGTTATGGTCCAGTGAAACAAATACACGGGGGCTCAGGGCGAATTTGCCCCCGAAATGCCCAAAAGAGCCCCCGAAATGCCCAAAAGAGCCCCCGTAAATGTGCATAGAGTTCAATGCAAAACAAATTTTAGAGTGTTATTTTTATGCAGGCAAGCTTGAAAAGTAGCCCCTGAAAAATAAATATTAATTTTTTCCCCGTTATGGTCGATGCAGCGCATGAGGGTATTCACTATGGTGCAATAACATTCACGAGGCATAGCCGAGTGTATTTTGTGCCATTGTGAATACCTGATTAGCGCTGCATCGCCAAAACGTCACAAACGAAAACCTGTGTATTATTGTTTTATAAAATGGGTCGACAATCTTACAAGCAAAGCGATAACACTGTAAACCTGCAACCTTCATAAGTAATAACATGTGCACACAGATGATTGTAGCAGCAGTGGCCTCGAAACAAGACTGTGCAGTGCATGGTGCGACTTCTCATGAACATGCATTGAATTTCATTTACACGCAGCGTGCATTACCATACCATACACCACACATACACCATACACCATGCATGCATGTACCTGTATCAGATCCAATAGCTAGTCTGTTTTCATCTATCCATTCCACGTCTGTGATCCCTGCTTCTGTACGCACGCCTGCACTGCATCTATTTACATCTGGAGCACTCGTAGAATCTTCATAGTACCATAGAGAACCCGTCCAAAGTCTCCCAGTTAGTCCAGATGCAGCTAAGATCACAGAACCATCTACAAAGAAAACAAATCCTTCCAGTTAATTATAACTATCACTGTACATGAGAGGAAACAAATGTTCGTGCCTTACAAGTTCAATCGAGGGTTCAGTGACACAAAGACGTAACTCCATATTTTGCCAAAATGAGTATTTGATATCAAAATGTTCAGAAAAGTGTGGGCTTTCCAGGAAACAGAAAGACTTAACTCTACCTAACACCCCCATTGAAGTCAATGGCTAGTGAAACATAGACTTAACTCCTTAGGGCCCAAGTGCTCAGTGACTTTAAACCACTTTTTCAAAATGGCCAAAATGGAGTTACGTCTTTGATGCCACTGACCGCTCCATATATTCATGGCTTGAACTGAAGCATGAAATGCCATCTACATGTATACACATGCACAGAAAAATGTTTAAAATAAACTAGAATAAAAATGTATTGGTTTGTATACCCTACCAGTAGTCAAAATAAAATAAAATAATACTATTTTCAAATCTGAATATATTTTTCATCTTATCTCTTGTTCCAATTCCTTATCCAAAAAATATGCTGTTTGTCCATTTTCCAGAAACATAACATGCCATCTATACACGTACACAGAGATGTTTAACATAGACTAGAATAAAAAAGTATTGGTTGGTACAGTATACCCTACCAGTAGTCAAAATAAAATACAATACTACTTTCAACTCTGAATATATTTTTCATCTTATCTCTTGTTCCAAATCCATTATCCTTACCCTAGAGATATGTTGTTTGTCTATTTTCCATTTTTTTTTCTCAAGAAATAGAACAAATACATTTATACCGGGTGGTCTTAAAGCCCCACTGTCCTACTTGTAGCTACTTGCTCCCTCTATATAGAACACATCCCCAATCGGTGCCTGTTGGTCCCCCATGATCCTCTTTTTCTTATGTTAGTTGAGAGCTGAGTTGATGAGATAGCCACCTGTTAGTGACCTGGCTGGGGGGTCTAATCCCATCTGGCCCAGTAATATTGACGGTCTTTAATTTTTCTTATAGGAAATATCATATAAATAAAGAGAAAAAAGCACAAAATATTTTTTTTTAATGTGAAATACGAGCAGGATAACCTGTTAAACTCAGTGATTCTGCTCATAAAAGCATTGATCCTGCTCAATTCCTTAACTTGTTTGTTAAAGTATATTGTGGTCAACAAGCCATGTCTGATTAAGCCGATCAATTTAGATTTTTGATAACTTAAGTCTTATAGTACCAGATAAATGGGGAAAGGGGAAACCGAGAGAAGACTTAGATCAGTCCGGTTTTCATATTACATGGTTTGCCCGAGCGCCAGTCTCGGCTGGCTACCCCAAGCAAGCTGCGCTATAGATGTGATACAATGCAGGCAGGTTGCACGTTTGAATGTATGTACGCGTAATGCACATGCAGACAGGCCTACCATATACTATAACGTTTCATCAACGTTATATTATATCCACTCGCTATTTGAAAGTTATAAAATAGATCTATAGTCTAGAGATCTGTCAAAACTGCATTGTTGCTGTCAGAGGTACTTCCTTCCTCTATCTCCTCAAAACTCAAATAAAATATGTTTTCGTCCATATCAATATTTCCAGGGGATTTTGAGTGTTTGCAACTAAATGTCACCTTGAAAAAAGTGACTTTATGAATCTTGTGAACCAGAAGAAATAGAAATTATAGATTTCTGGTAATTGAGAAATTAAGGTTTTGTGGTAATTTTATGTACAAGTAATTCAAGTACATTTAATTATAGAGGTGTCGTAGTCGAGTGGATACGTCACCGGACTTTCGATCACAAGGTCCGCGGTTCGAGTCTCGCTGCGGCACGAATGTCCTTTGGCAAGATATTACGATACCTACGTTTGCAACACTCAACCCAGGTGATGTAAATGGGTACCTGGCAGGAATTAATTCCTTGAAATTAGTACTACTTGAAATGCTGGAGCGCTGTAATGGCAGCTAGGCTAAAGCCGGGGTAATAATAAATGCAGATATAGAATTTCTAGATAGATGGCGCTATAGAAATGCCCATTAATATTATTATTATTGTCAACTGTTTTATTGACCCAGACAAAAGCATTAGAGAGCATATCTCAAACATAACGCATGCATGTCCAGTACATAACGAGGGGAAACAATGCACACTCAAGTTGTATGTACATGTATGCAAAATATTTTTTAAAACACATACAAATTGAAATAAATTGGAATTGATTGATTTGCTTCAGTATTAGTATTCAGGTTAATTATGAAAACTATGCACAAAAGGTACAGAAACTACATTTGTTTCCTTTATTTGAGAAACAACAGGATGAACGCAACTGCGTCTCTAATATGCCTCCGTCTACATTCAGTTCATTCGTTCATTTGATTTAATAGCAGATACAGTCAAACCTGTCTATAGCGACCGCCCAAGGGAAACGGAAAAAGTGGTCTTGTAGACAGATTCCTTTAGTACATGTTTCAATGAGAAAACATTTCTAAGTTAAACAACAAATATGGTCTTTGTAGACAGGTGGTCACTAAAGCAGGTTTGACTGTTTTTTATCAAGCCAGACCAGACCAGGATTGTGGATTACGAGCTACAGAACTCAGTGCAAAAAATACACGGGTGCTCCGGGCAAATTAGCCCCCAAAATGCTAAAAAGAGCCCCCAAAAGTCATAAAAGAGTTCAATGCAAAACAAATTAAAGAGCGTTATTTCCATGCAAGCAAGCTTAAACAGTAGCCCCCAAAATGTTTAGAGTATTTTTTTCCCTGACAGAACTAATACAATATTGATTTCTAAAATGGTTATTCTCGCTATCTCCACTACGGTATTTGGTCATAGAGGGCAGCACTCACTATGGGTATATGTGGCAAAGGCACTTCCGGGTCCCATACAAATATAATGGGTAGAAAACGGGAAAGTCTGATAGAAGTTAGAGTTTCAGAACCAATAAAATATAAGCGACAGATTATGATGGTGCCTACTTAGATCATATGAAATCATCAGGGAAGATCCTGAAACCTGAACAATATTGAGGTAAAATCAGGAATTTGTTGACACTGCTGTACATTCTCTTTGGAAGATAGAAGAAACTTTGTCTCATCACCCTCCCCGGTATTGTATCTGCGCATGTGCTGACCTCAGTGCCATGTGCTATGAGGGGTGGCCCTCTACTGGCTAACATCGTCCAGGCTGTAGGGTGAATCACAACATTAGTCAGCTGTGAGATGTGTTTTCATTTGGGAAGACTACTGATTGCAGAGAGTTGAGGGCAGATACAGCAGAATGAACATCTTCACATCTAGGGCACTTCCATGTAGGTCTTTGGGTAGAATCGGGAATGCCACAGCAATTGGAATGCCACCATTCCCCACACATACTACATTGTGCCATCTTCATCTTCGATTCATGTGTAATAGCATTCCATGGCATCCTACACAGGCAGAACACATCCACGCTGACCATCCTCTTGGCTGTACGTTCAACTGTTTGACTAGTCTTTGGGAAAGGTTTGAGACAATGCTTCTTGAAGCACTGATACAGATGACGTCTCATGGAGGTGATGTCATAACATACCAATCCTGGATCTTCAGAATGGAGGACACTTGCGGCAAAGGCTAATGCAAAGAGACCACAATCAGTTGTATTCTTGGAAAGCTGAACTGGTTGGATTTCCACTGAGATTTGGGTGTCCTGTGAACATACAATACATGCAATCTGCTTGCGTATGATGTCTGGAATCGTTCCTGCACCCATACTATCATAGTACTTCACCATCCCAGGATCACAGGAAATAGACGTCACAAAAACCCAGTGGTCCTTCCCATCATGCATCAGCTGTCCAAACTCCCCCTGGGCTGCTGAGAAGAGAAGGTGCTGACCTAGTGTCACTTCTTCAAAGCCATGCAGAAGAGGGAACATGTCAAGAATTAATGCCTGTGCTTCCCTGATAATCCGGCTACTCACAGTCTGGTTTGAACCTAGTTCATCACAGATAACCTCGGTGATCTCAGCTCTCTTTGCAGTGGAACAAACCCTGCAGCTTCTTTCCTTGCATGAACAACTCCTCTTGGTTGTATCAGGGAGTATCTTCACAGGTTCTTTGTTGCCTTCAGATCTATCTGAAGGTTCTCCCGTCTGTGGCTTTGGCGTCATAGTATCTGTACAGGAGGTGAATCTATCTAAAGGTTCTCCCGTCTGTGGCTTTGGCGTCATAGTATCTGTACAGGAGGTGCATCTATTTGAAGGTTCTCTCATCTGTGGCTTTGGCGTCATAGTATCTGTACAGGAGGTGCATCTATCTGAAGGTTCTCTCCTCTGTGGCCTTGGCATCATAGTATCTGTACAGGACTGTCTGGATGGGATCCCAACCCTTTTCTGTTTCGCTCTCTGTACATTCAGGAGAGCACCCTCGAGTTGCTGATGCAGAGCATCTAAGATGGATGAATCTTGAATGCTAAAGGTCTCTTCGGTCAGCTGATCAAGTAGTCTCCTGCATTGAATAGCTTGGTTTGTATCACCGCTAGTCTGATTAGATTGAGGTGAATCTATCATCTGTCTCCTGCATTGAATAGCTTGGTTTATATCATTGCTAGTCTGATTAGATTGAGGTGAATCTATCATCTGTCTTCCATATTGAATCCTTTGGTGTGTATCACCTCTGGTCTGACTTGATGGAAGTGAATCTATTTTCTGTCTTGATGTTTCTGGTGATTGCCTGAAACAGATGAATAAAAACAGGTAAGTTTTAGAAGTAGCCCCATGTACATTAACAATCTACAACGATAATAATAAACCAACCTGGGTCCAATAACTAACATAGAGCTTTATACCAATTGAATATACAACTGATTTTTGCGATTGACTGCACATGGTGATCGTAGCAATCAATCGCGAAAAAAATTATTATAAAATCAAGTCAACAAACAAGTTATCCCCAGGAAAGGAGGTTACTACTACTTTTTGTGTTCATCTGCTCTGCATTCATTTTGCTTTTCGGCTCTTGCACTTTTCATTTA